GATTTCGATAGAGAAGCCATCATGGTGATATGGCAATGTAACCTCGACAAGAGGACAGCTTGGCTTCGGGAGAGAGGAATGAAACAAGCTCCACACTATTTCAACCATTCGACTAAAGCATCGTGTCGCCTTTCACACACCTAGCAAGGTCATTCGGGTCAAAGTGGTGACACCTCAGAACTAACCCAACATCAAAGTGACTCATAACTGACGCATCTTAACTGACGTCCTCCTCTTCCAACTACTGCTCTCCTCTGATCTGCCAAAGGACTACAAACGACAACAACTACAACTACACCACCACCAATCGTGGACTGTCGGTAATAGTTACTTGTTGATAGGAAGGCGTCCACGGTGTGAGATCGAAATACCTCCTCGCATGGATGGAATCCAACCACACGCGGCTGTACAGCAGTGAGAAGACAGTTGCAGCAAGGTGGAATGGGCGCAAGATCCTACACACCCTCTTAGAGCAATGCCAGCTCTCTCCCCAACCAGCAAGCGTGATGAGCAACGCATTGCCGCTTCTCTCGGTGACAGTGCCCTCAACGGAGCGAAATTCGCCATTCGATAGAATTTCCAAAAAGAAGGACTGGAACAATCGTTTCGTGGACGCCTTCTCTCGGCACTGATTACGGCGTGATGACTGATGTGGAGTAGGCTGTTCCGAAGACCACATCAAGCAACCCTGAGCTCTAGTAGGTCTTTGTTCACCCTTAAAGAAGTTGCAGGGAGCTACAGAGGCCTTACTCACTCAACTTTTGAATGGACAACAGTGTGATACAATAATCCGAGTGGAAATGCAAAGAATGGCAGAAAATATTCAAAAGTGGAAATATTTTCTCCCTACTTGATGAAATTACAGCTACTCCTAGCATGTCCACACAGCAAATATGATTAGAAACAGAAAACTAAGTCATTTGAAGTGGGCTAACTCAAACCTATCCCCAACAAGGAGGCCATTAAGCGTGCTATTTATACACTTGACTGGAAAGAACTCTGAGTCGGCCTTAATACAGTCGACATTGGCGACTGGCGCCAGGTGATTAGACAGCATTCCCGTTTGGACCCGAGAGCCAGAATAAGTGAATTTTCGTTCCAAGAGTCACTGCTTGATTGCATATCTCTTAATGCTTGAAAATTTGGATACTTTAGTCAGTCATTTCTTAGAACTATGCAATCTAATGGCAACAATTTCCAGTCTCCGCAACGAAAGGCTCAATTTGTAACGGGGGTTAGGAAATTTGACAGTTACTTCAATTTTGTGACTTCATAGTAAACCTAATTTGACTAAATCACTCTTAATATTAGTACTGGCAATGCTAACTGTTAGTGTCGTTTGATCTACTAATAATAAATAAGTCCATAACCTCCAGCAAAGGACTCGTGTCATTTCAGTCAAACGAGATATGGCAGTTGATGACAGCTTACGCTGGATACGCCTTAACGCAAAACCTCAAATCACGTTGCCGTCGACAAAGTTACGAGAAAGGTGAGAGATGACAAGTAACTTGCACTAGAAACGCCAGTTAACACACCAAGTAGTGATGCGGAAGGATCGGAGATGTAATCCGGAGGGCCATTCACCTCTGATTGTCGGTTTTGAGCGTCACGATATGTGGAGTTCTGTACACCCGCCTCGGAGAGATTTGGAGACGTTACGTCAAACAAAGCGAGTACCTCCTTATCGTGAGGGAGAGAGAGAGAAAAAAAAGGCGAGAGTTAGCCAGAAATCTACTGTTGGCAGTCGCGACTGCAGTCATAGAGATCCAAAGTTGCGTGAAGATATTTGAATTTACTACACGGGCCCCTCTTGATGAAACGCGTATGTCATCTGCATTGTTATAAAGTCGCATTGCAGTTTAGTATGGTAAATATTGTCCGAGTAAGCCATCAGTCGCATGGACATTCCAATATTTTGGACTCAAAGCAACTTCCAAACTCGTGCACCTTGACGGGTGTGCGTTTGAGACCGTAAAATTCCAAGTCCTATCCTTGCCGCATAGTCATACAAAGGCAAAAAGTGCTGACTGGGAGCCTGACTGATTGGGCCTTAAAAGAGCCGCCGATGTGTTTATAGGGAAAAGCAACCAGTGCTATTTCACACCGCAACAGTCACCATAGAAAATAATCCCAGTTTAACCTCTGACATCAAAGAGGAGAGTAAGAGGTTGAAGTTACAAGACTAATTCATCGAAACTCGGAATTATACTGCACCATATAAGAAAAAGGGGACCGTGAGCTTGACACCGAGAAACAACCACAAACTATGACCCCACAGAATGGTAGGTGGACAGTGGAAGACCATTTTTATCAAGAAACTAACAAACAAAAAAAAAACTTTAGAAGATATGTTCAAAAGCCAAGTAAAGAACGACAAAAGAGAAGATTAGAGTGCTATAAATAATGATATGGTGTAGGATAGGTGAACAACTAGATTTGAAGACAAAGTGCGTACCTCGTTGCAGATTACTCGATCGTGAGCAAGATATACTTCAACTTCCTTCAAAGCAGCCTCCTCAGCACACGCCATCGCAACAAGAAGGGACTGACAGACGGCTGCTGGACCGAAACAAGTACCTGGAGGAGAACCGCTAGCCTGAACTAGTCGGTGGATGGAGAGAGGACTGCTTGGCGAGTCTGCAAACCACCGAATAATGCGTCGATGAATACGCGATGTTGGTTCCTCTGTCGAAGCCCTATATAAACGGGAAATGCGTTCAGTGTGAATGGTTTGGATTTAAGATATGTACTTATTTTCACACCAGAATGCCTCTAGTGCTCTTTTTTTCTTGAGTTCATAGGAGAGTTGAGGGGTCCTGCATGAAAGGCACGGTTCACCGTTTGGTATTTCAAACAATCTCAATAAGTAATTAGTCAGGCTTATGAAAGTATTACGTATTACGTATTACACGCGTTAGGAACAAAACTAATTGTTTCGTGTACTGAAAAAATGAAGCAAAATTTCTTAACTAAAAAAATCGGAGGGTAGTCATTCGTTAATATTGTATTCAACTATGTACAACTTTCAAATGCGCAGTTATTCAAACAAACCCATTATGTGGTTTGTAAATCCAATCACGACCGAGAAAGTGGAGGAGAAGCGCCTGTGCCACCATCATCTGAACTGATCTGAGCATGCAACCCCAGCCACAATCAGAGACGCGAGTAGAGTGGGGAATTTTCGAGGTGGTTGTAGGACTAGAAGATGAATCAGTTACCGAGCCCCTTAGATGGGCGCGCAAAGCAGCAGTGGTATTAAGAAGCCCACCGTTCGGCAAATCAAGCAAACAGATGATTGGGTGAGCAGTTGAAAGGGGGGGAAAGGAAGCCCGATAGGTGAACCACAGACGAGAATGAAAGTCTGTCAAAAACGCTTTCATCTCATCATTGGCATTGCGCTTCACTTCAGCTGAAAAATATTCCTTTGTATGTAAAATAAAGAATTTGAATGAAGCCAACTCAAGAAAACTTCTAAATAAACTTACAACTGGACAAATCAAAATATTTTTTGCCAAGAAAATTGGCAGGATGATCAGACAGAAGCCGAGGTGCCAAGGAGAAACTCCACCCAAAGCGAACTTGATTCCATACTGATCTAATAAGATCACCAAGTCCCGAGTCATCGTCTACCACGTCTGCAATTGACGAATTGCTCGAAGAATGGGGAGATCCAGCCATTTATAAAAGGCTGCAAGATAATCAGAACTAGTAATACTTGTATGAGCGCAGTTACTTAGCAAACAAAGGGATCAAACACTGGTACCAGTTTACTTCAGTTTACTAGATTACAGTAGAAGGGCTGAAAACTATTGAAATGAGGACGTTTATTCGTACAAATGTTTATTTCCAGGTACAATCGGTTCTGCTAGCATACCACGGGAAACGAAAGGTCCCGAGGGGGGCGAAGCATGAGGTACGTGGCAGCCCACATCCAAATGGTACTGCTTCGCAATATCGACAAGACTCTGAACAAATGACAAAGCGTTAATTTATGAAAAAAAGATACTTGCTTCGAATGTACGTGGTTCATACAGTGCCAAAGTATGCAGCATATTTTTGTTTATAGCAATATTGGATTGTGCCAGACCAGTGTATAGAACCTCGGAGGAGGGAAGACCATGATCCTTACAGGCGCGATCGATTCTTGCGTTCCACAGATTGTACATGTCACGACGTCTGGTTCTCCGAACCGTTTTCACATGCATAAGGGCTTTGATAACTTGAACATGAGCTAGACGAAAGCATCTTGCCGTTCTCCCTCGAAAAAGCTGGAGGTACCATGTGTCAGAATTAAAATTCCGAAGTTTAAAGCCAAAAAGGGAACCTGGTATTAAAATTAAGTGGAAAATCACTACGGATGGGAAAAGTAGGGCAGCAGTGCAGAGTTATTACGTTCACCACACAAAATGAATTCAATGAACAAGGATAGATTTAAAAATAGTTGAGACCGACATTGGTCAGAAACCGTTTCAGGGGGAAATAGAGCGGAACAGTTCGAGTGAGTGACCTGTTTACTTGGAGCAAAAGAAATTGCTGTTTTAATGGACCAAGCAATTGTCCCACAGTAATGTAGTTCGAATGCAGGGGAGATAAGTTGATGAACATTCCTCGTAGCTAAGCGAAATTGATAGAAGACCAGATACTGTGGCAAGATTAGAAATAGAACATAATCACTAGCAAAGTTAATGACATCGCTCGTGAGATTTAACTTACAAAGGCAAACCTAAGCCATTGATCCTTCCTAAACCAAGAATCAGACCGCCCGAAAGGGTAAATTTTCCGAACATCCAGCACACTACTCAATCTCATTTTTTTTAAAACAGGCGGGAGGCATGAACAATCTATTAAAGATTACGTGGGCATGTTGATAGGAGAACATGACAAATGTTAAGAAATGTTAAGCTGGAAAAAGCAACGCATAAGTTTATGAACACGAATGATACACAAGATTAGGTTCCATGCTTTCTGATTATTAATTAGGAACGTCGTCAGTTTTCCAAGCCAGATGACAGCTAGTTTAAGGCTTTGAAAAAATGTAAATGATTTACATTTGCTTTTCAAACGTTGGCGACAGAGAAGGTAGAACTAAAGGTGGAGCCGTATGCCCAAATCAGCCTACCCATTTCACTCTAAAATGTGAATAGGCTCTACCATTTCTGCACAGCCGAAATTTTTGTATGCTACTGTATGAGCTGCCTGGCTACCCTTCTGCCCTTGAACCACGGACTTCAAGAGAGGGTTGGTTGAAGATGATTCATTTGGCATTAAATACAGGAAGAATGGGGAATGGAATGCAGATGGACTGGAAAGGGACATGTCAACCGGAGAGAGACTCCTCATTGCTCTCGAGCATGTGATCCTCGTTCCGCCTCTCTCCTGTAAAAAGTCCACTCAAACGATCTATTATATACTACAGCTACATGGGTGCTTTTAATTACTGACATAGTACTGGCATTGTGCCATCTATTGAATCCTGTTGAAGAGCTAACCATAACCCTAACTCGTGTAAAAATGGACTAAGGCGAAGGTGAAGGGGAGGAGAAATTGCAGGACACGACCTGTAAATTTGCCATAACTAGCATCCAGAAGAGTACTGACCGGTATACAACGTATCTTTATTAACTTTAGCGACTCAATTTTGGCTAACAAAGCCCTCGGTTTTCTCCCAAGGTACTTGACTCAAACACCACTTCATACCTGGGAACGTCATAGTAAAAAATCCTGAAAGCACTCGTCAAGGGAGTCAATATGACCCTCGTACCGTGTTCACCTTTACTTATGCGTTGTCCTTTGTTGTTTTGGGCCGCGATCAATTCACTGTCTCGGGAGGCCACACCTCACCTCTGTCTCGTCTTCACTTCTGTGTATAGAGTAACGGAGAAATCGGCACAGAACATGCCTGATCTAATTCGAATTACAACGTAACAACAAACTGCAAAAGGCCAGACTGACACGCCTTCCTCCCCCCACTAGTCACAGTAGCGATTTCGCATATGACAAGACTTGATGCAACAATGTAGCCCATGTCAGTTTATTGTTGCTCTTTAAAATGTGGTTCTCACTGTTGATTTTAATAATAAATACAACGTGTGCGATGCATGGGCATAGCTGCCTCCACCTCCTTGGCAAATTGACGACGGTACAGCCACAAAAAGTTGTCAGCAGTCACCGAGTTACAAATCGTTTGCCTATCACCTTCTCGCGACAACAACTCTTGTGTTTTCTGAACCAGAACCTACAACAATAAAAGAACAAACATAATACAATGCAGATACTCTCATCTTTTCAGAATATCAACAAAACACGCGGCCAACGCTAGTCCCCTCCATGTGGGGCTACAAAGTGAGTCTGTATCCGCGCCACTTGTTTGAGAACTGATAATTTTCCTCAGCAATAAACGAAATCAAGTCAATGGGTGTGCAGTGACAGTTTCGCTTGAACGGGGAGAGGACACTGATCAAGGAAACATAACGGTTACTCCTCATCAGACCCATCCAGTACTATCAACTTCTAGCAGAAATTGAATATCGAGAAACCGAGATTGCTCAATCGGTGTGGCCATTAGAGGGGACCAATAACCGTCTACGTTTGAGCAGCGAAAATTGCGATGTAACGTTCCATTCAACTCCATCCTTTAGCCTAGTCTACGTGAACTAGCATAAAAATGCAAGAATTACCCACTAACCTCAACTGCTTGAAGGCAGACTCCACGAATTTCCACCTCCCAAACAGAGCCACTGCTGAGGTGTTCACCTTAAAAAGGCACAACAATAACTTGAGGCGTGCAAATGATAAATCGTGAAGCCACAAGAACGAGAGAGGGTGCCTCAACTCTCGAGCCTATTTGGGCACATAAAAACAAATAAACCCTGGCAACCAATGCTTGAAAAGGCATGCCTCAGACATCACGTAGCGTCTATGAGAGTGGATTCCACATGACAGGTGTCCGATTCACTAAAGCGACTCAACCAAGGGAGGTGAGGCATGTCACCTACGCTTTTTCAGTTTGAGCATCAGATCGTCGTCATAATGGAGGACTCCAAAGTAGGCTAACACTTGTGGTACTCTACAATAACAAAGTGGTAGTGTTACGTTAACCGCTATTGTTCATCTGGAGCACCTTTTTACCTGTAATCAGCAAAAGCAGTGAGAGCGTCGATGTCTGAGAAGTGACCGTACGATTTCCCCTTGAAGGCCAACCACAAATCAGCAATGAGGATTTGCGCACGCTTGTAGAAAGTGACTGCAAAGCAGAATCAAACACACACACACAAAAGAAAGATGAAGAATAGGCAAGTAGCTCTGATAATGCAAAATTAAGCATACCATGACGCTCCTTGTAAATTGCTCTGTCTCGAAAGGAGGGGAATTTATCGCACACCAAATGAAGCAATTTGACAGCTGAAGACGCACAAACTTTAATGCAAGTAGTGAAGCAGCCATCAAAGTCATTCATCAGAATTGTTGCATGCTCATGCATAATCTGCAGACGCGCCTCCAACAGCGGTATTTCCACATCTCTGTTGTCGGCTCGAAATATCGACCGACACTCCTCCAAGGTGAGAGTGGAGAGAGTGTTAGGATCGAGGAGATTTATTCCTTCCTGTTGGAAACGCCAAAAATACAAACCACTATGAAACCGAGCTTGTGATCATCACGCCTTCCTTGAAGGCTCCCTCATACAGTGCATTTCGAGACTTTAAATCGGAGGGAAATACGACACGCATAGAGTGGTACAAGATTTTGATTCGTACCACCACAATGAACGCAAATGACACTGCATTTAGGGCCACTGCACAAGAATGTTCAGGTGATCTATCCACATGAGAAGGATTCGAACACCTCCGAGTGCTTCCTGCCGTGTGGAAGGAATTCAAAAGACATGGTCATGTGATTGGAGGGGCTATTGGAGAATTGAACCCACTCATTAACATCAAACAGGGGGGTTTGTCAAAGGTGCACATTGTGAATGGAGCAGGAGGTGCCCGAAAGTGAGAGTCTCCACACATCCAACATCGAGGTCCTGCCTCCATTCCATCAAAGGCAAGCCGAGTGGGAACAAAGGACATCCAACCACCGTCGGAGAAGCACAACCTCTAGTGCAACAACGCTCAGTTGTATTCTTCTCCATCGTTTTGTCGGCACCCTCATCAATACTGCTAGAAGTCTGTTAGGACAGCAGCAACGGCCAATTGCTAGGACAGACAC